GCTTTGAAATATCTTAAACATAACCTGCTCACTCTTTCTGTAACAACTTTGATTTATATTAATGCTGTTTTATAACTAGCTACCCTCTGCCCTGTACTCATAAACTAGAACTGTGTTCCCAAATTATGAAATGAGACTTCAGGACAATAAAGCTTGTAGTATTGCAGCCTTTCCCTGTCAATATATTACTCCTATAAAACCTCCTCCACCCCACAGATTAAAAGCCTTTCCTTTTAAGACTTGAAAATGACTTTTTTTCACTGTTCTTATTATGACATGGTTTGCTATAATCAACATTCAGGAAACACAAGCCTGATGATGTCTAATAGCCATATCTAATAATGAAAATTTCATATATTACTACTGAAAGGAGAACGTTCTAATTGCTTTATATTTGACACAGTAACAAACACAAGTTTAGGCCCAAAAGTTAGATTTAATAACAGTAGAAGGAAATTTCAAGGAACCAAATATTTTGCATTAAAATATGGTGAGTGTTCACTTCACGTCTCCTCGTATGGTACTTATTTTGTTTTAATATGCAATTATTATCCCACAGCATTGTAAATAACTCTCAATCTCATAGTCAGTGAGATCTATGCGCATGGCTCAGTTTGCGTTGGACAGCATTTGTCAGTCAAATAAATTCCTAAGATGATGTATGTGTCAAACCTGCAAAGAGAAATGACTGCTGACAACCTCAAAATTGGAAAATATCCTTCTCCCCATTTAATATACGGAGCCCATAGCAATAAAATGCTAACTGCGGGGCCTAAAGTAGAGACCTTAGGGCTTCAGCAGTCCCTAAAGAACCTAAGATTCAACAAAATATTTTAAAATAATAATATTTCACTTTCCTGGTAGGCGGCCACACGGTGCTGCATGCAGAGGGTCAGGACAATGTGCTCCTTGTCCCTCCACGCCTCCTCTCCAGCCCTTTGCAGGGACTGTGCTGTGGCACCCGTCCTGGCACTGCATCATGCCCAGTACCTGAAAGCTGAGTGAATTTTATGAACATTTTAAAATTTATTCAGAGATCTTCTTTTGGCCTCTGGGTTTTTCCAGTAAGATGGGATATTTTAGAAATAATATATTCCATGGGCACTTCAGCTGGGAGTAGGGAGCCTTGGCTTGCAGGCTTGGTGAATGTTCTGGCTGCTATTGTCATAATGTATTTTTTTTCTTTTTTCTCCCTTTTTTTTTTTTTTTCTTTTCTTCATGGTGGAGAAACATATAGCTTTAGTTTGCTAAGCTCATAATAAAAGCTCTCCTTTTGCACAAGAAACAGAGTTGCCTGATTTTAAAGAAATTCTGGAAATGCAACCTCTAATGTTGTACAGTGTCATAACTGCTTAGAGTTTGCAATCAGGGAAGCACAAAAATTTATGTTGGCTGAAGATGTGTCGCATAATGTTCAAACACATTCAAATTTATGGCATATCTGTGAGACTGTAGCTATTTCTCTGTAAAAGCTACCATCGCTTCTTTGCTTCCCATCTCCACTCTTATTGTTCTCCTCAACTCCAAGAGTCCCAGAAATGAGCAGCATAGAAATGGGAAGGTCTTAACTCCCTGCTCTCAAGACCCTCTGGCCAACAAACATTTTTGTTGGTAACATCTGTGATATTTGAGTTACAAGCTTGTTATCTTGGTAGTAATAATGGTATAGGCACAAACAATAAAACAGTGAGCAAAATTGCAAACTGTGAAGAAACAAAGGGACTCAGCCCTGAGGAGGGTGGAGGTTTCATGCAATCCTTCGTGCTCTTCTTTCCTCCCTCCTGTGGGATGTTAGCACGTCACAAGGGAAAAGGATGGTTTTCTTGGAGCCTGGCAGGTAACTTTCTGTTGCTACTCCTGACATCATTGGCATTTTAAATGAAATATTAACAGTCCTCCTTTTAATAGGAGTTTCAGCACAACCTAAATTAAGTCATTGGAAGAGAGATATTGTCCCATTAAGAACAGTAAAACCTTAAGCTCCCTTCCCAAAGAGTAGCTGTGGGCAGTTAAAGTGACAATCAATTTAAACAGGCGACACTGCTTTATAAGTCTCTGAAGTGTGAAGTCCCAGCATGCCTGATGTATTTCATTTTAATTTCCTTTTGGAAAACAGAGCTGTGGTTAGTGGGGAACCTCACACTCACACACACATGCATGCAAGAAAAGCTTTAGGAGTGCAGGAAAGAAGGAAATTATTTAACCCTTTCAAAAAGCTATACAATTTCTCCAGCTAAGTAAAGAAAAATAAGCATAGATATTTTCTCCTTTAGTTCCTGTGTAAAAATAAACAATAGTCTTGCATAGCTAATAACTACATTAGGGCCCCTTGCTAATTTCTGCTACAAGTCCTGAAAACTTCACGAAAAATATTTTTTGCTAGTTTCCCTTCCCTAAATCAGTAGCTTGTGCCCTCTACAGGGTGGGGGGAAGATAAGAATCATGTAATTTCATCTGATTTCCCATTTCCAAGCAATTTCTCTGACATCAGACCACACAGGTACATGAAGACTCATTATCAGATGCAGCTTACTGCTGTTTTCAGGTCAAGTCTGATGTTTTCAAGATCGTAGTGCTCTCAAAATGGAGAGATGGAGAAAAGTCAAGATGACACAACATGTGGAGCAGTGATGGACGTGTCTCCCCCAATGGGGTTCAAAAGAGAAAAACAGTGTGCTGCTTTAGGACTTTCCTGAGGTTATTTCAAAGGGATTGTGAAATCACAACGGGAATGGAAAATTTTCCAGGACCCTTCTTTGTTTCAGTTGAAACCAGTAGTTTAAGGAATTAATGAATACTATCAAGAGCTTGCCAGAAAAACATGCAAAGACAATTGACCAGATGCATGTGCATATATTAATTGTGACCTTGCCCAATAGAGACACCTGCAAGATAGATAAATAAATTAAATAAATAAATAAATAAATAAAACAGCACTTCTGGTTGGAAGGTGATTGAATACATTTATCTATGCTTGCTGTGCTCTAAATTTTTATTTTTAATAGAAAGACTGAAAGTTGGCCTCTTACAAAGTAAAAGAAAAGTCGTATACATCGCTGAGTCTCAGGAATACAAATTTTTAAAATGGAAACAGACACATATAAAAAATCCTGATAGTTTTACTATCATATCTGTAGGGTCATGGTTCAACCACAGGCATGTGTTAAGCCATTAATTACTTCAATTTCATGGGAAAACAGATAGAGATGTGCTGACGACATAATCAAGGACTGTAACAACTGTCCTACAGTTCTGTAAGCTGTGCTACGTTTTGAGGAATCCTGCTGGTGTGTCTGTGAAGGACAGCTCTGTTTATTTGTAGTAAACTGCAGTGTAGAAAGAAACTAAACTTGTATTTATTTTGCATATGTATATTGCATTTGCTAGCATGAAAGGAAGGCTCTCTATTTTTCCAGACCAATCAGGGAGAAAATTTTAATGGTCTAAACATCTACCCCTTCCTGGTTGACAGCAGCTTTTGAAGCCCAGACCCAAAGTCAGCTAAGTAAGACAAGGTTCCTTCTTGTCTCATCATTTCATCAAGGTGCAGGAACAACACAGCTTGTCTATGCCCCAAGGAAATTCAAAGCAAGGGGCTCCCACATGCTACATTTAATGCCGATGCCCATCACCAAGAGAACTGTGAAAGGCTTCTTTAGATTTCGCAAACTAAATGGGGTATATCAAGTTGAAGTGGTTTAGAAATGTTGCATTCAGTTTTTGAGTAGGTGGTGGAAAGTGAGGAACTTAAAGATTAAGGTTTGAAATGCAAAACTTATGAAGTCTTGCTTTTCAGGTATAAAAAACAAACAAAACCTACACACTCAGAGAGCTCAGATCTGGATGCCTCCTACAGAAGTAAGCCACAGTGTATAACCATCATCTGAGGATGTCTGTGTGCTATCCCCATGCAAAACCCTTATCTGCATCCTAAAGGGGGAGCTGCAGCAACCACTACTGCTCCGGACATGGACTGGTGATAAAAAATCTACCTTCACAAAATCCAGAAAGAAGGATAATGGATAAAAGAACAGAAAACCCAGCTTATTAATTCTTCAGCTACTCAAGAACAAACCAAAGTACCAGATAAAACCCAACTGCCCTTTAAAGCTTGGCTTGTTTGTTGTAAGTCATGCAGTTGCTCTCTAAAGCATCATGTGCAAAAACCAGTACATGAAACATCATGTTGTTGTGGTGTGAGTAAGAATCAGGGGCAAGGGTTTATTGGAATTTCTAGGTTAGGCAGAAATGGATGTGTGATCTGCTCTCTAAACTGAAGTAAGCAGGGAATGTCTTGAACAATTATGACATAGTGGTTTGGCTCTTCTGGTTTTGTAGTCCTTTAGTGGGCCCACGGATCTGAACCCTTCCTGGTGGCAGGAGGAAAACATTCAGATTGGCTAACGGAGTTAAAAAGATACTGAGTTTAGGAGCAAAGCTTGGAGCTATCAATATGGGCTATCGATACAAGATCTGCAGTTCCAACTTGGCAACTCTCACGTTTAAATATTATAAATCAATATTTCTGAATTTGTGATAGAAATCAAAATTTGGGAGCTACATTTACCCAACCTTTTTCTGCATCTCTAATCATTAAGAGGTTATAATCTATTTTAGAACAGCATTAACAGTACATTAAGGGTATAATTGTGTGTGCTACTACTAGTGTAATTCTTATGAAGTTCAAACAAAGATTCCTCTTATTCAAAGGCTGCTTTCCCCGTGTTTATTACAGAAAACAGTTTATATATCTGGCAAATTGTGTAATTAAAGTCAGAATATTAATTAGAATGCTAAATGATGCTACACACGAGACTTGGAGTACTATTTCTAGGGCAAACCAACAGAAGAAAGTGATCCCAGCTGGAACTTTGAGCAATCTTGATGGTGCAAGGCCAAAAACATTTGGGCCTGAGCACCCAGGTGTGAACAATTGCACTATGAGGCAGACCCTGAATATAGCCCACCCCTGGGGGCTTTGCTGAGTTTGGCATCTTTGGGGATCTGCTTGCAGCAAAGTTCCTGCTTTGTGCTGTAGTTGGGTTGAGTATTTGGTATTCAGCCCAAGCAAGCTTGGAGGTGGAAGAAGCCAGTTTGTCTATGGAAGCCGTGCTATCAGAGTTGCTCAGGTAAGTTATGAGCTAAATTCATTATGAGTGTATTGGCTCATCTAATTTTTCAGTGGTTTTGGTAGTGAGTATATTTTGTGTTAAAATACCTAATGTGACAAAGGTAACACAACCATGTAGACTTCAGAATTTCTAAACCAAGACTGAGAAGGAAGAGTAAACAGAAGATAATTTCTGAAGATATTACATAAAGAATTTTATGTTCCTGGCTGTTTTGCTGGAATAAATTCTTTCTGAAATATTTTTTCTGTGAGGAAAACAAAATGAAACATTCCTTCCTACTCCTCTCCTTCTGCAGATCTGTCTTTGAAATTACTTAGAAATAGTCTTTTTAGTGAAGCTTAATCTATTTTCTTATATCACACTGATGATGCAGAAACAGCTTCTCCTGCTGTGCTTTGTCACTTAAGCGTCTGTTTGCCAGACTACAGAACAGCATGGATATCAGAAAATGGAAAATGATAAGGATTTAACAACTATTTTGGTGAGCTTGGCTCAGCCACTTTTTTTTTTTAAAGCAATTTGTCTGTCTCTAATGTGCGTGAGGAGGCGTGTATCAGCACAGGGTTTTGCTGTGCTGAAATAGCACTGTTCTGAGCAGTGGCAAAATGCTGCATCATGATAGCAAGGTCTGGGGGAGCATCCTGTCCCCTGGCAAATGGGTGTGTGCGTGCTGGGGAAGGGATGTGTTAAAGCTTCCTAAATCTAGATGAAGTGGGGACTAGAGTCGTGGGCAGGAAGTCAGGAGTCAGAGCCTAGTGAAGCCTATTAAGATGGAAAAAATGAAGTAATCCAGTACAGTAGGCTATTCAGGTCTGAAAATGGTGAAGTGGGAAAGGCAAAAAGGACAGGGAGATTGAAATTCAGATGTAATTCAAGGGTCTCTGTGCAGCAGCTGTAGATCATGTCTGGCAAAGCAAGTGTTTATTTGGACAATAATAGCCTTGAAGCCTCCTGATAAAACCATCTCCTTGCACTTCAATCCATAATACTGCCAAAGGTTTCCTTAAGTATTCCCTTCTACTGGGATGTAAACCAATCCCTGCCCCAGTGTTGGGGCTGTCATTGTGTATGGAGAGCGGAAGGGGGGTATGAAAATGATTTCCCTTAAAGCAGGCAGGCAGAAAAAAAAAAGGGGAAAAAAAAAGAGGAGGAAGGGTCAGTCTTTTGTTACCTTTTTTTATCCACATCTTTAATTATTTCCTTGGAAAAACAAACGAAGTGATGGATTCTGGACTTCTGAGGAAACAACAGAGGAAGTAGCCTGTTTTCTGAAGCCCCCTTGCCATGTGGTTGCTGCTGTGTGCCTTTTGTCTCTCTGGCTTCCTGAACATGGATGGAAAGCGTGCCCCTTTCATAATCCAGCTTCGCTTCTCTGCCGCCCTCCCTCTCCCTTGCCTGCCTTTGTACAGTTGATAGGAGAAAGGAACCAGCTGCAAAAAAGCCTTTTCATGTCTATCATGCTCCTTGACCCCCCTTCAACACCTTCTTATGCCTATTGGGATTTTCATGATTTCTAATGTTACGTTATGGCAAGCGCCTTCTGCTGAACTTGATGGGAGTTTGGCCTGAGACTAACAGCTGGCTACACAATCTTGGTACAGTTTTTAAGGAGAAAAAAAAAATTCTGATCAGTTTTCTCCTCTGCTAAGAAATTCAACTCAGGTTTCCCAAAATAGGAGAACATAGAAACTGGTGTTGAGTTTAAGACATAAATGAATTAAAACAAGCCTGTCTTTAGACTCCAGGTTTAAGCTCAAATATGGAAATTCATAAAACATGTGGATGAATATTAAGAGCAAATTCCACACTGTACTTAACTGCCTTGTAAAGTACTAGGAACTTCTGGTTCCTTGAATCAGATTTTAAAAATATATATAAAAACACAGTTACAGAACTCTCAGTTCATGGGGAGGATAGGGGGCAGATAAAAGAAATCAGAGTACTGGATGGCACAAAAATAATTGTTCTGTGATTTACATTTAAGTTAAAATGGTGCTAGAAAAGACCAGATAATGCTGCTGTTTGGAGGAGTTGGAAAGAACAAAGAAAAGTATTCATTACTATAAGGTTAAATATTTTCCTATGACTGCCAACTGTCCTTCAGGCTTTTTAATTTGATTTTTTTAAATCCTACAACAGGAATGCTAGTGGGTTTTTTTCTTTGGTGGGGGGGATGTTTCCTCTCAAAGATTTTATTTGGAAAGAAGCTAGTTTTGAATTAAACTCCCTGATTAAACCCCCTGACAGACTTGATGAAATTTTATTAACTGATGAATATAACTTAAATCTAGAAGACAATTCCTGATTCTGTAGTTTAACATTAAATTTCGCTGTTGCATCCTACCAGTAACAGTAATCTCCATCTATCTAGAGCATCACTGCTAGAAAAGTGTCTGCTCTTGATCTGAAGACAAAAGATGCAGAGAACTTGCTGATTCCTTAGTAGTTCCCTTTGCTAATCACACTAATCCTTTGCTGGTAAATTTAGGCTTATTCAGCAACTTGTGCTTTCCTTTCCTGAAGGTATTTTTACTATGGTATCAGGCTAATTCTGCCCTTGGACAAATCTCAGCAGGTCCCTACAAGGCTTGTTCTCAGGGTCTTTGGATTTTTGCACCCCTTCCCTGCACCCTCTGCAGCTTTTTGCCTCACATCTGTTTTAAAATCTGGATACCAGAATGGGATCAATCTCCCCAACACTCACCAAGAATGTACATAATAAAAAAGATACAGGCCACATTGCAGGAAAGCCGTCAACACGCTGCAGTGGCTAATATATAATATATCAACCTGAGCTGCAGAGATCTAAGCTTTATTTAGTATCTTTTATGAGCTGTTGCTACGGAAATGGACCTCCCGAAATTAAAGCTGTGGTCACTGATGGTCTGTATTCAGAAAGTATTGGTGGAGTTGTTGTAAATATAAACTCAAATGCAAAAGCTAAGGAAAAGAATGGCAAAAAAGAAAAGCTTGGAGGATATCATGGATCTTGCTGCTTTGCATCGATAAGTTGATATCACTTCTAAGCAGGGGACTCAAAAGTTATCAAAGGCCTTTTAGGATAGGTAGTTGTATGCAGGTTTGGCTTGTATGAATATTTTGTTTTGGCTTCTCTCGTGGGTGGGAAGTCTGTTAGCATTTTTCATGTGTCTATTATTCATGAGATCCGCCAGTGATTTGCCCAAACTAAAGCTGGGCACTGCTGTGGGGTTACTGTTTAGTCTGTTGAGGTATAACTCGGTTCAGTCTTTCCCTTCCTTTCCATTGAAGCTGGCCATCGTGGCTGGCTAAGCTGGCGGAACGGTAAACGACAACTATTACAAATGATCGCTGGTGGTTCCTCGGACACCCAGAGAGCTGAGTGTATTGCATAGGGCAGGATGTTTCTGGCTGCTAGAAAATATTTCCATCACATGTCTTTGTAGGTAACTGACAAATATACTTAAAGAACCACTGCCCCATCCAACTAAACTGAGCAAAGACTGTTTAAAATACACTGCATATTTCTCCTACCACAGTATTTCCCTTTCCATTTTTGTTACTGTCAAAAATACTTTCATCGAAAGGTAGGAGAACATTCTTCTAATCATCCACTGCTTTATATGAAAGTAGAGACAAAATCTAAGGCAAGTAAGAGGAGCAATTGTTCATCTTTCATGGTGGTAGTCAAGTTGAGATTGTCTGGTTCCTCCTGCAGACACCAGGATTTTGACTGAGTGGCATGATATTTGGGGTACTTGCATATCCATAGATTTCCAAAAACAAATTTATTATGAGTGGAAATATGAGATCTATTGAATAAAGTCAATATGAGAAGACACAAATGAAGATTCATCTCTACCTGGCCTGAAAATTTCACTTCAGTGTTAAAGCTGAAATTAAAAAAAAAAAAGTCACTCCACTTCAGGAGCTGGCCCCCCCAAAAAAGTAGTAATCATAATAAAGTTAAGCACTTTTCTTACCAATCCAGAATACACTGGAGACAAATAATCTGCAATTTTCACCTTTACATTGTTAGTGAATTGTGGGTTTGGCCTTTGCAAGCATTAGCAAAACTTCTAGCATGTACATGGAATAATTCAGCAAAGAAATTGGCCCTGACCATCATCAGAGCAGTGAGAAAACAAACACAAGTGGATTAACATAATTGCTTAATCAACAGCATTCAATGAGGGGTCTGCAAGTGTGCTGAATTAATCATCTCATTGTGAGGTGCATTATAGGTAATGAACATAATGAGAACTTTGCACAGCTGGGAACTATTTTAATCCATTAACAAGCAAAAATAGGTCTTGAAAAACAAGGTTTTTTAATCTATAGCTAATCTTGATGTTGAATTTTGGGGTTAATGTCAGAGAAGTTAAAGGGGGAAAATCATCTTCTTGACCTTCTGCCTGTCCAAGAATGACAATTCCATTCATCAGTATATAATCCTCAGCAAACATTAAAGGATCCTATGTTTAATTGGTCATTGTAATATATTAGTAAAATCTGCATGCTTTCAATGGGAATGCTGCATGAAATATTATGTGTATGGAGCTGACAGGATATAATCAGATCCTTTTGTTAGGCATCATGATGTTGCTGAAGGTGAGGACCTGTGGGGAGGTTTGAATGCCATCTTTTCTTCCTTGTATGCCTATTTCAGTCAAATTAGAAGATTGGTGGTCTTTGTCTTCATATTCCTGAAGAATAAATTCCACCTTCCATCTGAAATATTCAAGTTTTTTTTATATTGTACTGTTTGTATGGCTTTGATTTCCTGGGAGAGTATAGATGGGGACAGGGAAAGCCCAGGAAACAAAGTTATTGCAAATGCCTCAGGAGAAGAAGCCTTGAAAACAACATGAGTCCAATGCTCTTTGTTACACAGGTCTCCACATGGTGGTGTTGGTTTAGGTCCCACAGATATTCCTTTCACACCAGCTGTGACTGCAATCCTGCTAATTTGACTCAGCCCAAGTGCAGGGAATTTATTGTACTGTTTTTTAAAGTCT